CCTCTTATTACAGACAGAGTCCACATTCTGCATTCCCAGCAAAATTGTCAAAAAATCAGTCCAACACATTTTGTTTCAGTACTAGTTCTAGTACATTATAAGAAGACCTTCTAGAATGTTTTCCATTGAAGGATTTCCAGGTACTTTTGAAGCATTCATGAATTAAGGCTCACAACACCTCTATGAAGTAGCGCAATTATTATTATTAATCATTCGTACTTTAAAGATGAGAAGTCCAAAGAAGTTGTGAGCCTTGGGTGTGAAATGGAAGCCAGGCTTGGACATGGCCAAGATTTCAGTCCACGTCTTCTCTATTCTTGTATCTCAACCAAACAACCATTCAGATAATACCAATTTTTCCATGTGTACTGAGTGCCATACCTGTACCATGTAATGGGGTATGTTGCATTCAGTTTTGATCAAGGGGTGGCATGAATGGAATGAAATGATCAGTAGTCCCATTCCAGTCCCAAATCCAATTTGATTGAACATATAAGTAATAGCTCTACTCAATCAGTCTGTAAAGGCATTCTTATGCCTTCCTAATGATGCACGATGACTCAGCTGATCAGGCATCCTCATGGCACTGGGGGTCACCTTGTTGACTGGTGTGGTGTCCTCTAGCTTAATGACAGCTCCCCAAACTGGAGTTGTTTTTTTAGACTTTTATATCCTATTACAACCCTCTTCTGTATATTCCACATATGGTCCTGCTATAAATCCTCACCACTTACCTTTCACAGCATCAATCTGTCACTCTCTGTCACCTCCAACCTGTTTCTTTCTGAACTTCTGCCCTACTAAGTTATCCTTGGATTTGTTTTGCAAACGGAGCCAATCTGGCCTTGGTATGCTTCTCTATTCTGTCTTGTTTTCCAGCAGTCTACAACAATCGACATTTTGTTTTGCCTACCACGGTCATTTACTTTAACTTTGTGCCGAAGCTAGCTCTGTGCATATTTTGCTTCCTGTTTTGCTCGTGGTGTCCGTTCAGAGAAAAAGAGATGGCATCAGTCATGCCAAGGCTTTCAGGCCTATAAATTTCCAACAGTCCAGGTATAAGGTGAGACTCTACTCTTCTTAACACTAAGTGGGGTGCATTCACCTGTGGAGGGATGATGTATGGCAATTCTCAGTGCTTACCTTGCCTATTGCCAGTTATGCCAAGTCAGCTTTTCAGGCCTACAAAGTACTTGTGAATTTTGGTGCAGAATATTTCATCATTTTGTTTCATTCACATTAAAACAGGTCATAATTTGTTTTGCAACTAGCTTAGTGTGCAATTGCATCATTTCTTTTATCCTGGGCCTTGGGCCTCGCAAGCAGTGCTAAGTGTACCTTGGAAAGCCAAGTAGTTTGGCTAGAATTCTTCAATTTAAAAAAAGAACTTTTAAAAAAGGCACATTTGTTACCTCATTCTCCATAATGGCCCAAACTGTGCTCCCCTTATTCATGCCAAACCACAACTGATTACAATGAAGAAGTGGAGATGAATTTTCCCCATAATGCCAAGCTTATATCTTTTATAAATTGGGTTGAATTTAGTCCACGATCCCTACTTGCAGGACTTTAAAAGGGAATTTGGCAAAGTTTTCTTCACAGAAGTTGCTTTCCGGTGCATGTGTCCATATACAGATCTGATTTAAACTGGCAAAATCCAGTCTTTCTGTCACCTGAATAAACCCATCTCCCCAAACATGCAGGTCTTCAGCCAACATACGGCCTCCAAAACAATGCCAGTGAGAATGCGCTCCAGCAACGTAACAATCTTGGCAACCATAAACCCTCAGCTCATATACAAGGTGCTCGTTGTCTTCTGTTGATACAACCCCTTGCAATGAGGACATGTGGCACCAACAACAGCATCCAAGCATGTATGTGTTCCAGCAACACAGTGATGCTTGCCTTTATTCGGAAAGGCGAGAACCAGGAAACAAACACAGAAATCCCAGCAAAATTTTTCCTTTTGACCTAGCTAGACTGGCACTGGCATGACCATCAAACCGTATGTATTTATTTGGCTAAGTGTCATTGGATGCTGATATTTCCTATCAATAGTGCAGACAACTTATGACCCTCATTTTACCTTTTTCATCAATGTAATTGCATTAGAAGCAAAAGCTTTTAATGCTTTTGTTTTGTTTTTAAGAATTCCAGCATCTTGCACTAAAGGCATTCCACTAAATACATCTGTACTATTGTGCTCAATTGCCCATCACAAATCTGTAATGGGTGTTAATGTGGTGAGCGCTTGTAGCTCTGACTACTTAAACCAAAGTAGAACAGCTGCAACACTTTAACTCTGCAGGAGAGCAAAGGAACCCTCTAGTTGTTAGAAATACACTCTCTTCTATGTGGAAAATGTCAGTGGTAATTGAATTGGAACTTAAAAATAACTTAGCTTTTTCCCTTTTTTTCTTTTTTTTTTTCCCTTAAGTAATGCCATTTTAGGGAATTCCCTGGGCATTTACCAAAAACGGGGAAAGCGATCCAGATAATGAAATGCACAAACAGAGTTTGAAAATGAAAACACAAATGCTTCAGTTAAGTAGTGAGGGAGGGAAGAAGCAGGAAGCTGGGGGGATCTTGTGGAGAAAGCCAAAACGGACCTCATGATGAAATGGAAGTGTGCCTCAAATGGATATAAAATTGTTTAGCTGTGTGCAGAGGCAATCTTGCTGGTGTGTTTGGTGGGACCCAAAGTCCAGTTCTGGACAATGTCATCCCTGTGCTAGAGGAAGTTCCTTTGGTGCCTCCAGAGCTCACTTATTAGCATACTACCACAAAACTGAAGGGGAGTTGGAGGTGATTTCCCTCCCCCTGACAGTCATAGGCCATGTGTAGATGAAACGAGGGGCATGTGCGCATGACACTTCAAAGCAGGCTAAACGTTTTTGCACCACTTTAATGGTGTTGGTGTTTGCACGCCTTGGCCGAGTATGGCACATAAATTCCACTCTCTGTAGCAAATTCGGCAGCATAATGTGCCTTAAATGATTTGGGGTGCAGCAAACTAAAACTCCTCTAAGGAGTTTGCTGCCTGTACAGCCACGGAGCAAAGCACCGGGCTCCGTGCAGCGCAGAGGCTCTGCAGGAAGCCCTGCAGGCAGCCTAGCAGCAGCCTGGGAAGGCAGCTCCACCCAAGAGAGGGGGGAAAAAAAAAAGCGGAGAGCCTGATTTCCCCCACACCCTTCCCCAGAGCCTGCCTGAACTGCGCGGGGGCCCAGTGCTTCCCTCTGCAGCTGCGGTGCCCCCCAGAACTGCCCGAGCTGGGTGCCTGTGGGTGGGTGCCACCTGGGGAGGGGTCCACCACTGCCATGGAGGGAAGCACCAGCCCCACTACAGCCCAGGGACCGCTCTGTCAGCCGGCAGCTCGCCCTCTCCTCCCTGCCACCACAGAGGCAGGTAAGTGGGTGTGTACATGACATGAGGGTTTAAAGGGCCCTAAGTTGAAGCGGTGTTTTTAAAAACCCACCGCTTCAATTTAGGGCCCCCATTTCATCTATGCATGCCAATACACCCCCTCACTGGAGAGGGCTAATTCATCCTTTCATCCTTTCCAGACATGGCTTATTCCTGAGCCTCATAAGCCTGCTTTGGAAGGACCCTTTCGAATGGCGACTTGACTCCACCAATGTATTTTTAAAAGGCATCCCTTCAGAGGATGCTCCTAAGACCTAGACACACACACATGCACAGTTTGTTACGGCAAAAACGGATAAACTTTTTCTGGGAAAGTTCAGTATAATATACATGTCTTGCCTGTTTCCTTGATTGGAATGATGGCAAGGCATTTTGTATGTAAATCAGAAAACAAATTAATAGGTTCCTCCATCTCTCACCCCTCCTTACTGCATTTGCACCTCACCCCTGGGACAAATGGTCTGTCAAAGACAATTTTTGTTTTTTTTAGGAGCCCCTTGTTAAAACATTGGCCGTTCGGCCATTCATAGTCTCGGAAGATCCTTTTCAGATGAGCAGGGGTTTTAATCCTTGCGTCTTGGCCCCATGCCAGCTTTGGTAATTACTTTCTGCTGACAATCCCTAAAATCCCCCTGGGTTTTCATTAGGGCCTCTACCATCCGTTTCTTCAGGTCCTCCACTATTTTGTGGCATGGCTGTGCACCATCAAACAGTGGTGGGATTTCAGCCAGATGTGACCATATTTACATGCTGTATGAAGTAAGTCTTGTGATTCTAGTGAAGTTTTTGGTTTCCTTTGTGAGGCAGGGTGCTGTATACATGTACAATGATTTTATTATTACTGCCCTTCTGCTTCGGCATTTTTGCATCAGGCTGACATTTGATTGAATTCATCTAATGAGGTTTTTAAGCCTTTAGATTTACACTTCTAAAAAAGTGTGTGGGGGGGAGGTTTCTACTACATAATACTATATTTGCCATTATCTATTAGTTTCAGCTCAAAAGTGGCTACATAGCTTCCAGCATAACTATAATCACTAAAGAAATTTTAAAATTGTATTTAACGTTTTCTTTTCCTTTTTCTGGGTGTATTTTACGTTGTCCCAAACTTCCAGATGAGATAAACCGTATAAGTTGCAATAGTATCCCTGTCCTATCTACCTTGTCTTATGGTGTAGATGGAATTTATCAAGTCCAATAAAACAGCAGCTTCTGAAAAGGCAAGTTATAAGGGTAGATGCTGTACTCGATATAGGACCTGATTCTGTTAACTGTGGTATAAAGAAGAGCCATGCACAATGCGACTCTAACACAGTGTGAACTCTCCATCTTTAATAATCGTGTTATGCACCTTAAATGACAAAACCTTTAACCATCAAGCCTCCTGTATGCACCCCAATTCTATATGTATCTTGCTAAAAACAGCAGCCTACACCACACCATGTAGAGACATATATTTAAATGGTATGGGAGCATGAATTTCTACTAGTTGCATGTCCTTTATTTTGAATTAAAGAGCAGGCAAAGCACTTCACTTTCATTTCTAACTCTCCTATTTTTAATTTTGTCTTTAATAGCTCTTGATCCATCCAAAGATCCATGTCTGAAGGTGAAGTGCAGCCCACATAAAGTGTGCGTCACTCACGACTATGAAACTGCTATTTGTGTAAGCCGCAAGCAGCTGGTACACAGGTAAGGGCGTGCTGCCAGTTACATTCCATTAAGTCTCTGCAGTTTCATGAGCTACTATAAAACGAGGACAACCAACCCTAATGAACTTGAAACTTAACATTTAAAAGAAGTTTCGGGACATGTTTTTCATACTTAAATGGCATTTTCTTCCATGGCCAAAAATATCGTTTGCTATTTATAATAATCAAGGCCGGCGAGGGTTTGGAACTAGTCCAGAAAGATCAGATGGAACATGGGCCCCCTAAGGAGAATTGTGCTGTACAACATCCGTCCTACCAGCACTGCAAAGGGGTTGTTCAGACAACAGTAACTATGGCACTCTGTGAAATATGAAGATAGTCTCAATGCACTTCCACGATAAAATACGTTACCATATTTACTGGCATAGACCTATTTTCCAAAAGTTAGGCATCCTAAATTGGGCTGTATGTTTTAAGTGAGGAACCTGATTTCCACACTGGAATGGAGGAATGGGAACATTGTAATGGCTGCTGGAGGCTATGCCGCCTTACTAAGTGGAGGGATGCAACTGGGTTCTGGGTATCATTCCCCCTTTTCTTCCAGCTCCAATGCTCAGGCTTTAATGCTATCATACCTGCTGCTGAAAACTGCTGCTAATGCAGCAGCAGCTGTGGCAGTGTTAAAGCCTGAGCTCTGGAGCTGGAAGAAGAGCACAAGTGATATATGCACCCGGTGCCTTCAGCTCAGGTTACTAAATCTCTCCAGCTTCCCTGGAAAATATCACCCAAAAGAACCATTTGGAAATGAAAGACTGAAATGGAAAGATGTTCAGAAAAATCAAATGGAGTCAACAAAGTCTTAAGTATCAGGGAAAGGACTTCAAAAATCAATGTGAACTTACTGGAAACTTTAAAGTAGGACAAACATGTGACACTGTTGGAGTCCTTGGGAGGCTGTTGACTGCCACAGTCTGATCCTGCTGCCTCTGAGCTGAGAAAGATTTCCATGTAAAACTCACTTGTCATAATCAAAACTTCATTCCTGAGGATTTTTCCTACAGAGAAATGGGATTAAACTGGCATGGTGAGAAAGCATAAAACGATGATGGGTGTCCCTGAATTAATCTGGAGCAGCACCATGTCTAAGCTTTTAATAAGCAACTTAACTCACCCAAGTAATCCTTTTGAAATCAATAGAGCTACTCACATGTACATTCACACAAATAGGTCCTGAACTTCTGCGATCAATTTTGCAGTCATTAACTTTCATAGGTTAGAAAAAAAAATCCTTCTTCGAGGGGAGAGCCTCATCCAGTTGAATTCAGATGACATCTCGTGGCTGGGACCACATTTTTTTTCTGAAATATATTCTGACATATGACAGAAAGTTTGTTTTTTTTTTTAAAGCATTTTTACACTACAGCTTTCAGCATAAAATGAACTATGGAGTGATGTTGAGTATATGGTTACGTGAAGTACTTAATATTACCATGATGTTTTGCAAATTATATAGTTTGTCTTTCCCATTCAGAAAGAACTGATCTATCATAAGGTGCATAAATATAGCACGTACTAAGGTAAATACTCTTTGGACTGTTTCTACATCCAGTATATCAAAAGCAATCAGACTACTTGATCAAAGTAGAGCAGAAGTAATGGCACACAATGGAAGGTGAAAGCCCCTTTTTCTGCAAATCAGGCTAGTTCCATGCAGTCTCTCTAGGACTCTTGCACTGCCTGTAGCTGTTTCAGATAGACTTTGGGCAACACCGTGACAGAAAAAAAGAATTAAAAAATTTACTTTGAAAAGTCTCCAGCCATTTTCCAGCCTTAAAAATTACTCTTCATGCAAGATAGTAGTGCATATCTCTCCAAAGGACTTTTACTCTCAAAGTCTCTAGCTAGCTAATTGCCTCAGAGGGTGGATATACCAATAAAGAAAGTTGCCAGCCCAAATTCTCCATTGTCTAGAATTGATGATGTTGTTTCAATAGAGAATTCGGTGCTCATTTTGCAAGGATGTGTTCGTTCTTCAGTGCCTGGCCTGAATCCTGTTTGTCTGACTCCGCTCTCAGTTATATCAGGAGTAACTCCACTGCACTCTATCAAGTTACATTGGTCTTTCCTTGGGGTAACCAAGATTAGAGCCAGGTCCCGCAGATCCGTATATGTAAAGTCAGAAGCATCAAATAACACAGCACCGCAGTGATTGCATTGCACACCCCTTTGTGCATGTTTGCGTGCACTCAAAGGGATTTTCCATTTCATGCATCATTATCAACTTGCTGCAGTGGCTATACAAAGCATGTAAGCTCAGCAAAAAGAAAACAAGCAAACAACAGAGCAACATCAAATGTTGCTGCTGAGGCTCCCAAATAGAGCTACACTGATTTGCAGCAGCTGATTAACTGGCCTGCTGAGTAGTTACAGCACAATGAAGGCATGTTTATTCCATGAATAATGTAGCTAACTTTCAAACCACCAACAGCAGCACAAGACGTGCCTGTTTTATTTTCTTTGTGCTGAGGGTGCGCACTTTGTAAGCTGGGGCAGGAACATGACAATAGCGGATAAAACTGACTTTCATGGACGTCAGGAATCTGGCCCTAGAATTTCTTGTCGATTGTGAATGGCACCGGAAGGATGTCAAGTATTTAACAGACGCGCAAGTTGGAGAGCTCTTTGCTTTGAGCTGTTTACAGTGCAAATTGGGCAGGCCTGGCAGAAACAAAGGTAGGGGAGTGAAGGTTGGATCAGGTCAGATCCATGACTGAAACATACCTGGAAGAGATGAATCTGAAGCCCCTGGCAGACGTTCAGTTAAAGGCGCGATGTAACCTCCTGCTGTGCTGCACTTGCAGAGCAGTAGATCCCAGGATCGTGATCCAGGGCTCCCCTTGCACCGGCAAGCAGCAAGGCAATCTGCTCAAGGGCTCCGATGCACCCCTGAGGCTGGGAGCCCCTATCAGCTGATTGGCCTGGCTACTCATTTAATTTTAGGCATGATGGGAACATATTGTGTGTAATAACATTGTGTCTTATTCCCTGTCCTTTTGCACCGCTAATTGCATGAAGGTGTAGGCAGGTTACTAATTAAGACGTGATTAACTGGTTAAGCGTAACGTCTGCCAGGGACCTGAACGACATATCTTGCATATTTAAGAAGTACACTGCTCATAAAAGGGCCTTCTGGAATGCTCTATAGTGGAGCAAGTTTTCTTGTAAATTAGATGTAATTTACCCATTCAAATTTCTCTTTTTGAACCTGACTTGCTGCATTTCTGAAGCCTTGCAAAGTGTCTCATCAAGACTTCTTTGCTTCCCATGTTCGTACAAGGGGGACATTTTTTTCTTTATTTTCCCTTGAGAACAGCAGGGAGAGCAAAGGAATAGGTGAAAAAAGAGCAGGTATTAACATAACTGGGACAATTGTTTTATTGCATCTAAATCGCTGGCGATTTCCAGTTAGTTTGTCATCCCAGAATTGGTCAGACTTGCACAGCAAGACTCCAAACGTTTTGAGCTTGGACAGATGAACAAGTAATATTGAGTTAAAAGGAAAGGGGAGGGAGGACTTGCTACAGAGAAGCTTCTCCGCATGCCTGCTTCTGTCCCTCAATAAATGAAAGCTGAACTGGGACCACTTACCCCTAAATTAAAGACAGATAAATTACCGCAGTTAACTTCCACATAAGACAAGATAGGAGTGGAAACCCAGAACAGTTACTGCAGAGCAGCTGATGCATGGTAAGTAACCTCCTCTCCCCTCCTTGGCCTTTTAAATCAGTATAATTTGTTCATCTGTCCATACCCTGTATCTACTTCTGTACTGAGATTTAGAAGTCCAGATGTTTACTCGGTATTCCTCTTCAGTGCTGCCGGTGCCATTGTTACCGACAAAAGAAGCCAGTGCTGAGTGCCTCACTAATTATTTTTTTAAAGATTTGGACAAGCTCCCAGATAAAACATCTGTCCTTCTAAATTACACATCAGAGGGCTAGTCTGACCAAGGAGGCAGTGTTGACAACTACATCTATTCACCATGAGGGAACTAATCCCCATCTCCAGCCGTAAACTATCCAGGGTGTATACCATCAGAAAACCTTATTTTCTGTTAGTGATGGCCCTATGACAAATAAGGCTGTAAAACCATCCCAACAGGTACGTGAGCTTGTGCATATTTCTACCAGGGCTGATCTGCCTACTTATTTTTTGGCTTACGTTGCATTGGAAAGCAAATTCAGGAAAGGGAAGAGGTTGATCATTGCAAGAATGCTGGTGCCCAGCCTGGTTTCATGGAGAGAAGGCTGTTATATAAAAAAATCTCTTTGGGCTTTTCTGAAACTTCACGCAGAAAAGGAGCCAGGCTTTTAACAATATTGCCACTTTTATTTTTGTTTCTGCATTAAACAAACAATTGCCTTTTTAAAAAATGTGTGTTAGATGTGTTAACCATAAACCTTGACACTGTTGTTTTAATTTCCCCCGTATCTCTTGCATGTCTGTCTTCTCTTGCTTGTTTTCATGTGATGCCAGTAGTGTCAAATGCTAATGAGGTGTTGGCATAAATCCAAGCACTCCTTTGGGGGTAATTTCTTCCTGTGATGAACACCTGAACCCTACAATTTAGTGGCCTGACCAGCGTGAGCGAGTGTTTGTTTCTTGGGCCGTCTGTTGTTTAATTCTCAGTGATTTACACGGGGCAGTTCCTCAAAGCTTGAATACGTGAGCCGTTGATATTTTGATGTCTTGTCTTTTAATACAAAAAAGTGTGATAGTAGTTAGCTGTAGATATAGGAATAGCACTAGTTTGTTCCTTAATTAGTTTGACAGTTTTTTGCGGTTCTTTTTTCTTTCTCTCTCTTCCTTGCTCTCTCTTGTTTTGACACAGAAAATACCTGGTTTTGAAGGTGAGATTTAGAAAAACAGTGTCCCACTGGGAACTGAAAAATAAAATTGCTCAGCTTAGCCTACTAAAATTGGGTAGATTTATCAGGGTACTGCTGAATTAATTGTATTTGTTTTACTATGCTATTTATT